TAAGAAATGTATCTTTAAATAGTTAAAGTACTTCCATCAAACGAAGTGTTAAATTATGCTTGTTCATTCACAAGCTTGTACTTTCATATAAGAGAGAATTAAATTAATTAATAGAAAATTAAATTTGTAATACCTCTAGAGAATCGAAGTTTCTCTTATCCACAAAATTCGCTAAAAAGAATTGAATATATACCAATGGAGAATACATCATGTTGACAATGAAAATGATTTCTGACGATGGCTTTTTTTCCTAAAAAATTTAATGATTATAAGTATTTCGGACGAGAATAAAAATACTGAGAGGTATAATGAAAATACGGTTTGTGACAACATCAAAAGCTTAAAACCGAATTCTTAAAAATTAGATAAGCAGAACTGAGAATCATAGATAGAATGCATACTCTAGGATAATATCAAATAATTTAATTTGAATGTTTAATGTAATTAGAGATAATTTTAATCATAGTTAATTATTTATCAAACCAGACAAGAAATAATATCTTAAATATAAATAGAGAAAGAATTAGAGAAAGATTATTGTAAGAATTCAGATCAAGTGAATAATGATCAGAATTTTGTTTTAAAAAAAGTATCATACAGATAGGTCGGACAGATGAATCTTGTGCTCAGCACCAAATCCCGAGTTAACAACAATATCCAGCATCTTTCAAAAGCAAACTGACAAAAGTATATGCTAAAAGAAGTTGCTTCTTTTTTATCCAATTGAATTTTATTAATCAACACTCTTTGTATTTTTTGTCGCAAGTGGCATCTCTGAGTAGCAAATTGAAACATTCACATTTAACAGCCACCCCATAGACAGCTGAACTCGAATTGTTTTTTATTTTAAATTTTGGTAATATTTCATAATGTATGGGATATGGGTCCTCTGCGCGGCCCAAGTGCCCAGTTTTTGTTAATAAAGTAAGTGTTAATAAAGTAATGAAACATTCACAAGATGTAATCAGATATGAATTACCACTCTTTTCGTTTAGGTGCATTTCTTATTTACAGATGTGTCGGCAGGGATGCGAACAACTCAAAACAGTTATCAACAAAGCACAAGCAGCCTGCCTCAGATTACAAATCCTTCTTCAGAACCCCAAAATGGAACTTAAACTTAAACGTCTATTCTACATCTCAATGATCCGTCCCATCCTGACTTATGTATCTCCAGCTTGGTGAAACATCTCCACATCACTCCTTAAAAAACTCAAAACATGCCAGAACAAAATCCTCAGGAAAATAACAAAAGCAAGATGGTTTATACGAAATAAAAACATACATCGCGACCTCAACATAAACTGCTGTTTGTAGAAAATGCAACACCATGAAAGAATCATCAGAATCAAATGAAATTTAATGCAGAAACGACTTGTACTGATACAAATAAATGATGAAATTTTCAAAACAAAAGAAACAAATTAAGCGTCCGAAATCAGTATTTGGTGCAGCCACCACGCGCTGCAATAAGTGCTGCTATACGACGTGNCCGCTACAGCACTTTATTTATGATTCTGGAACCATTAAGATTGAATATTAGTACCTGACAGTTTTTACGATGGCCTCTGAAACTTTATTAATTTGCATAATATCCTATAATTGACATTTGCTGCGAATTTCATTTGATTCTGATGATTCCTTCATGTGTTGCATTTTCTACAAACAGCAGTTTAGATTCTTTAGATCATCACATTGCAAAGCTAAATTTCAGATTTTTTGAAGAAACCATAAATTGTGACATCGCAGGATTCAACGAAATTTTTACTTTTGAAAACTTAAGAGAAGACATAAACCTCAGGCCGATGGCAGCTTACTTTTGTAGTGACGTAACTTTATATAAAATTCAAAATATTTAAATTTCTTTTACTCCAATTGCATTCCAATTAGCAGAAAGAACCACCCTAAAGATCACAATTGAAGACGAATGGGAAAAAGGCCGCTAACGGCCCCAGGCACCCAGATAAATATTGATGATGATGGTGGATGCGAACAACTCCGCTTTCTGCCAAAGATTTTATAAATTGGTGGCTAATAAAATAGTGAAATTTGTAGAACATAAATAATTAAGCTTATTTTTTAAAAGTGTTACCATCAGATAACTAAAATAAAGGTGCATATCTTGCGGTACTGTGAAATTTTGATATGTAGTTATGAACTACTTAACATGAAAAATACCTAGCTTAGAATATCATTAATTTCCTTTCCATTTGAAATTACTTTTTTACGAAAGGAGTAAGTTAGGAACTTTCCCATTTGTAAATAAAATTATCTTATAGCAATTACTAGAGCTTACACTAATTTACAATTCTGATCAGATTGATTTGCTTGCATTTATTTACTAACACAAAATCTTTTGAATTTAAATTCAAAAATCCGAGAATTAAACAGAATTCATAAAATTTAATTTAGTAGACCCATTGCCACTTTAAATACAATAACATACCTACCAACTTTTAATTCCTTCAATTATGATTTTTCCCAGTGGAATTAAAACGGAATTAAAATATCAATTTTAAGCAACGAAATACATTGTAATTGAAAAACTTGAGCTGGAATAATTGGTAGTAACGAATAATAATATTTATGCGTAAGTTTTTTAAAAATAGTGGTGATCAAAATCATTTAAAAATTAAGTTTATAAAAGAAAAAAATAGTATATATTTATTACCACTTTAAATGTAAAAATAAAATTTTATGTCAAATGCGTATAAGTTGGCTGATTTGCAATAAGAATTACTACGGACAATGTTCGTAGTTAGTAGCAACAATTATATCGGTCTCTTTTTGATGTGAGGCATTTACATATAACTCACTAATAGTTTTCGTAGAACACGCTAATGGTTTCGTATAATAAAATAAAAACTACCATTATCACAATTAATCAATCTTAAATTTAGCCAGTAAAGTCGTTTACTTTTATAATAACTTTTGATAACTATGAGTGAATGTTTTTTATAATTACAGTTTAATGAATATCAATAAATTATCAAAAAAAAAGATCACATGTCATTAGGCTGTTGTGTTTAATTTAATAGTTCGTTTACCAGGAGATGGCCCCCTCGAACCAGGAGATGGCCCCCTGGAAAGGAAAAACATCTCCGCGCTTGAAAATGAGACAACCCTTAGTGCGCGCCAAACGCAAACAGTGAATTATTTTTGAGTCACTTACTTCACTTTATCATCTGCTACTATACCGTTCGTTACTCTATCTAATTAAATATATTGCAGCAAAATGTCTCAAAAAGGACAAATTATTCACTCAAAAGAAAGAAATATCATCTAATTTACGAAATACTTAATGTTAAAAAAAATGCGCATTAGGATTGTGAAATAAATATTTTAGTCGTACGATCTCAAATAGCAACCTTGTTCAGGATTGTTCACATACTTCCCCCCAAAATAGCGAAATAGTGTCGTCGGATACCACGTGATGAAGGCGGAGACAAGTGCCAACTCCTGGTGAACGAACTATAGTAAAAGTAATCAAACACTTTTTTACATCCTTTGAATATTTTATCATAAAATTCATTTATCATATTAAATCAATATTTGAATAACTTACCAGCTTAAAATAATTTAATATTGTTGATCGTTGTAAAATAATGCCACATATGGAGAATACAAGCCAGAAAACTGTAAGTGCAGAGGAAGTAGCTATTCCGCATTTCCGGTGTCGAAGCATAAGTATTATGGTGAAGGCCTGAAACAAAATGAATTAAAAATTTCGAAAATATTTAACTTTTCAAGAATAAAAAACTCTTGAATCAATGTATTAATACGAACGCCATTGAGGTGATTTTAATTTTATCGAGAAAGCATAAATGAATAGCTATTTTTAATCTTTCTAAAATATAACTAAATATTCCGATTTTTTCCCGCAAGTTTATTATACGGTCAGGAGCCATTAAATGCAATCACTTTTTTGAAACAGGGTGTTTGTACGGATGCAACGGGCGACTAAGACTGTAAAGTGCTGATTAACCAAATGGCTGTTATTTATTAAATGAGAATATACTTAGCAACCTCTTTTCGGATTGTTTTAGTCAGTTTTCTTAAGAAATATTATTTCAAATTTTTTCTTCAACTTTAAATGCGAATAATTTACAATGTTTGTCATTTTACTAAAAACCGTCATTAAACAGCCGACCCAATTTTGGGCTAATGACTGCTAATGCTCAACTCGAAAACCAGTAATTTTGAACCCTATTCAGAAGACGAGGGTAATCCTGGATCAAGTATTTGGAGAAATGTGTCTTCGTGGAGGACATTTTGATGGAACTAACCCGCATTTGCCTTACATTTTGAGGAAAACCATCCATGGTTAGCCAGACGGCAAGAGGACTCTAACAATACGGAGGTTAATAATTATAACTTAAATTCGCTTATAGCATATCAAAATAGGATTTAATAAGTTGAGTCATATGAAAGTTAAAAAAAACTTATAAACGTACATTGTTTTTTTTTTTACAAAACTACAAAACTTGTACTTACGAAAAGAAGAAATTTAAAAGATGAAGCCACAAACGAGGAAGGCGGTACGCTGACATCCGATGTTATCAAATAAATATTTGTGCAAACCTGAATCAGGGTCATTATCAGAAGGCTAAGAGACAGCACCTATTTTAAAATAAAATTCGAAAGTTAAAGAATTTCAATTTAAAGACAATAAAAATGATTACAGGACGAGGAGACGATTACAATGAAATAATTAAAAGACGATAACAATGATTGTTTCAAGTAAATATAATCTCGCCTTATTTCCGGTAATTTATTATTTGGTAAACATCCTACGTTACTTCAACAACTCACCTTACATGTTTTTTTTTTCCATATTAAAATCTGTTTCTGGCACTCGTAAAAATTCTTTTCGACGTGGAAAATCGACACCAACTCGTTCCGCATAATAACCATTTCAAATGTCATAGGAATTAAAAAGTTTAATGAAAAAAATGGCAAAATTTATTAACATTTGTGGCAAAGTTTACTTGTACATATTTTTATTCACAAGGAGGCCTACATTTCCCTTTTGTTGAAAACGGCTCATACTTACTCATATGTGCTAGTTATCGTAGCATCAGCCCAGCGAGGGGCTCTAACTTATTCATCTGAGTGGGAATGTATGATAAATCGCCGAAGCGCAATTGAATGGTGAAAGTTGGGGTTCAGTAACATTTACTGAGAGAATTTACTGAGTAGCGAGATTAAACAAACAAATTTCAGAGAAAGAGAAAAGGTTTTTGTTACAGACTGCCTCGCCTCTCCCCGAGGTATTACACCTGAGGTTAGCAGGTGCACAGTAGCCACATAGCCTCAGAGAAATAGGAAAAATATATGATAATAAATACACAAAAATATTTAGGTGAATATCGGGTGAAAAATTTTATACAAGTTTTTACAACTATTTACAAAATTTACGGGACAGTACCCCATTGGAGAGGAAACGGTCAACGAGATTTTCACATGTATCTATATAATAAATTTCTAAATAATGACAACAGTATTTTTAACCGATTTTCCCTTATTGTCACATCGCTTAAAATAGCATCGTTCAGAGCAAATTTCCTTGAACTCTTCAATTGTTTTCGCATTCAAATTATTATAAATGTGAAGGGGGGAAAAAACTGTTATAGTTTTTCAGCACCATCTGTTGGAGAGCTTG